CTTCTCAAGTCAAGGGAACAAAACATGGTCACAGTTACTACTGGGCAACCGGCGACGTGGCCATCCGAAAAGGTACGCCGTCTAGTAGTCCATAGTAGTAGCAATGACAACACCCAGCACCACCAACAAAGGCGAGATTATTACTTTGACCACCTTCGGTCTTTCGTTACTGTTGGATCCACGGATCCGCTACTATCCAAAATGTTATTATCTGAAGTTTTAGGGAGTAGCAAGTTGTTAAAGGTTTTGGATTTCCGTGGTCAAAACATAGAGGAGGAAATAACAAATGAGATTTTCAACTTGTTTCATCTCAAGCATCTAGACCTATGGGGTACAAGAGTGGAGAGAGTCCCGAAAGCCATTGGGAAACTTCAACATTTGGAGTATCTGAATTTGGGAAAAACCGGAGTTAGGGAATTACCTATTGAAATCATAAAGCTGCAAAAACTTCGTGTTCTCAGAGTATATCAACAAGTTGATACTTCAGATGATGATTATGGATATCATGGATTTAAAGCTCCCTCGAATATGGGAGGGCTTCTTGCCCTAGAAGTATTAGACAGCATAGATGCTAGTAGTGGATCCACAATAATTAAGGAGATAGGAAAGCTGACCCAATTAAGAGAGTTATCTATTACAAAGTTAAGAAGAGAAGATGGAAAGGAGCTCTGCTCCTCCCTTGCTAACCTCTCCAGTCTTCGGGAATTAAGCGTTACTTCAATTGGAAAAGGTGATGATCATGAGATAATTGATCTAAATCATCATCATCCTTCTTCTTCTTCGTCGTTTCTTCAATCTCTTCGTATGCTAATTTTGTGCGGCCGCTTAGAAAAGATGCCACAATGGGTAGCTCGTCTTCACGGCTTGGTAAGAATAGATTTGGACTGGAGCAGGTTAACGGGCGAGGAGGATCCGCTTGAATCCTTCCAACATTTGCCCAATTTGGGTGAAATTAATTTCTGCGGATCTTACCAGGGAGAAGGGTTGTGCTTCAAGGCTGGAGGGTTTCTAAAGCTGAAGGAGTTGCACCTAAAGAGAATGGAAGGGTTGAGATGGATGAGAGTAGAGGAGGGTGCATTGACTCGTCTCCATCAACTATTTCTGCAACAACTTCCATCACTGGAGGAATTACCATTGGGTATTCAGCACTTGAGCAATCTTCAACGGCTGATTTTGTCTGAGATGAGTTCTCAATTGAGAGAGAAACTGTTGGAGGATCAGAAGGAAGAAAGTGAAGATTACACAAGAATCGCACATATTCCTGAAATTTTCATTGGTTACTATACAGATGATAGGAAATGGAGACGCCACAACCTGTGGGTGGAGAGGAAGAAAACATAGCAGTAGCAGTCGTGGCTCCCTTTCTCTAGTTGTGGAGAACACTGCTTCCTCTCCTTTTGTTTTTTATTTTTTATTAGTAATTTTTCTTCCCTTCGATGTGCATGAGAAAGTTCATCATCTTCTGTGTTTTACATTCTTATTTATTGTATGTATAATGCGTGATGTTTTTTTAATGTACTGTAACAGAGTATTACTCTTTATCTTTGTGTTTTTTGATCTTTTCTATATTTTGTTTAGCAAATGATGAAGAGGTAGACATGTTAAAAGTGTATTAATAATATCTACAAGAAAATTTTTATTAAAATCTCCAGATAATAACTTTCAGATCTTGGTGAGAGAGAATACATAATCCCAATTTGTCCTCCCTTCTGCTTGTACAAACCCATCTGAACCGTAGAAAGGTTTAGCTAAACAATGACACCATTCCCAGCACACATTCCCAGCACTAAAACACCGGGTTGAGACGGATGAGAGTGGAGGAGGGTGCATTGCCTCGTTGACAGGTGCCGAACCTGTGCAATAATAATAAATAAAACCTAACTACCACCTGAAACAGTCAGTAATCAATTCGAGTACTGGAGCAGGGACTCTAGGTGTGCAATGGGTTACTTGATTCACCCTGTTCCCGAAGAGTTTGCTTAATCCGATATACCTGAATTAATTATTTAACTGAATTTCCTAACTAGTAGACAGTGGTAAGCAGGGTCGTCTCCTCAGGGACTGGAGAGATATTTGTTTCTTTTCAAATCAAGATTAATGGGGGGGGTGTTGATATCAAATGCCAACTGAACAAATCAAATGCAGAAAATAATTTATTAAAAGAAATAACTAAGAGAAACTCTAGCCAAGGGTGCACTTCAGAAATGGTTCATGCAACTGATCATCGAATCAAATATAATTCCAACATTTACTAATAGATTGGTTATAGTTGTCTCGCACGCGCTAAACAACCAACCCTTCCGTAATTTATCGATAGCTAAGGTACGACCGTTAGCTATTTCTCTAACCCAAAAACAACCCTAGGTACGACCGTAGGATTTAATTTCCAGATTGCATTAATAATTAGAAAGGCCCAATCCTAACCAATAAACACGCTACGAGGGTTTATTTAAGCTAGATCATATATTCCCCTGACATAAACCCAATTATACCAGTTGCTACTGGGATAAAGGTAACGAACAATTACGGATTCAATTACCCCTATATAGCAAAATAGCCTATGTGAATAATTAATTATTGCGCACTAACCAATCATACACAAGGCTATAGCAGTTAAGAGCAAGGAATATGTAAATATCAATAAATGAAGAAAACAATTAACAATGGTTTAGATCTCACAGTATTAATTGAACCAATTCATCAGTTGTTCCCTTGACTAGAGTTGGGAGGTTTAGTTCCCCATTGAGAGTAACTCACGCAATTCCATTGAAGGAAATTGCGTCAATGTTTTACAATGGAGGAACTACTCCGCGGACCAGAGCCAAGCGGCTGCGTTCTTTCTACTCCGCGGACCAGAGCCACTTCCTTTTCTTATTCCCTTCGCTCCCCAGTTATCACGTGAAATCCCTGGCTAAGTAGTAATCCCGCGGGATCCGTCCTTTTCCTCCTCTTCAAAGTCGGCTGGCCTTTTGTAGCCTTCTCTCCCTTCAATTTCGATCAAAGCAATATTGGAAGACAATTGCAATGGTCCCCACTTTTCCAAGGTCAACAACCGTGGCTTTTTCCTTAGTTTCCTAATGGAAAAATACTACCAAATAGAACTAGTTTCCTAAATAGCAAAATAAACCACAAAAGAAAGTATTTCAAGTTTCCTAATTCAACAATAAGACTAGTAATTAGAATTCAAGTCTTCCAAATCTTCCTCTAAAGCTGCCCAGAGTTTGAATCGAACTTGGAAATCGATCCCGAACGTGCTACCATCAAATTAATTGGAAGATTGCCCCTTTTTGTCACGTTTTGCTCTTTTTCCTACAATTTAGCACCATTAACCAAATATAAGTAGAATCCATCAATTAACGCAATATTTGGCTGAAATCAAGGGAAGAATAATTATAGATTTAGCGACAAATAATGACCTATCACTCGTCTCCAAGACCTATTTCTGGAACAACTTCCATTACTGGAGGAATTACCTTTGGGTATTCAGCACTTGAGCCATCTTCAAGAGCTGACTTTGTATGAGATGAGCTCTCAATTGAGAGAGAAGCTGTTAGAGAATCAGAAGGAAGAAAGTGAAGATTACAGAAGAATCGCACACATTCCTGAAATTCTCATTGGTTACTACACAGATGATAGGAAATGGAGAGAGGACCAGCTATGGGAGAAGAAGGAGAAGAAGAAGAAGACATAATCATTCCTAGCAATAGCAGCCGCGGTGGCTGCACCCTTTCTCTAGTTTGTGGACAGCACTGCTTCCTCTATTTTGTATTTCTTTAGTTTGGACATCTTCTGTGTCTTGCCTTCTTATTTATTATCTGTATAATGAATGTGTGAGATTGTGAATATAAAGACAGCACTGCTTACTCTTTATCTTTTTGTTTCTTGATCTTTTCTACATTTGGTTTAGCAAACGATCAAGAGGTGGGGATGTTAGATGTGTATTAATAATATCTACCAAAAAATTTTCATTAAAAACTCCTCACTTCTGCTTTTAAATTTTGGTGAGAGATAATACGTTAACCCAATTTGGTTTGTCCTCACTTCTGCTTGCACAAACCTACATTAATAATGCTTTGTCTAGTAAATATAGCAAATGTTGGACATACATTCAAATTTATTATATGACTCCTTTTACCTAATAGGTATCCCCCAACCTGTTATTTCCTTCCCAAATTTGCCAATGTTTCAATTCACATTGCATACGATATGAGATCATTCATCATTGACTGGTATAATTACTTTGTGCTAATAAAACTACAATGTGTATCACTATTTCTTAAAAATTGCTCACCAAACAATTGACTTCTTAACCTGCTTACGGGTTCTATACCTAAACAACCTGATGGGTATGACGAGATGGCCACGGGGACCAATGCCTAGTTCCAATTTCGTGCATTAACTCAAGACTTTAGTTTTATTTGGCTAGTACAATCCCTCAAGAGATTGGTAATTTTTATAACCTAAAGCTATTAGCCATGGATTATAACCTCAGATTATAGGATCTATCCCAAGAGAAATCTGGAATTTGACTCGGCTTCAGCGGCTCTATCTTGGGCATAACAACTTGACAGGTGTGACAATTTACTGACTACTTCAAGAGAAATATTAATAAGTTTTGCTTTGCTAACGGAGATGGTGACAATTTGAACTCCTATGTATTTCTATCTACTCCCTCTCTTGTCAAGTTAAAAAATTAACAAAGCCAGTGTCACAGTCCATCCAGCATCTTTTATTGTTACAAACAGTTGATTATTCTGGTCCAACATATATATCCTCGCTTTATCTTGAATTTGGCAGGCACAAATACGCAAAAGCTTGGAGGTATTTTAAAGCTAATGCTGTTTAGTCTAGAGAATAACCAGATTGAAGGCTCTATACCAAGACATATTGGAAATTTGACTACACTTTATAGAACTATACCTTGGTGTAAACAATTTAACAGGTATGGCACTTGAGAATAGCAATCATGAGACAACTGAAACTTTCATGATCAAATAAACATGCTTCCGTTTGCAAATGATGTGTTTCTTCAGGATTGCGAAACATTCCATTTCAGGAGTTCTATCTGTTTTAATTTGGCAGGTGTAATTCCCTACGAGGTTGGAAACCTACAGACATTGGAGGTGTTGAACCTAAGATTTAACAGTTTAAAAGGTTCCATACCAACCAGGATCTTCAACATCTCAACTTTAAGAGTGCTTTCAATTGTTTCCAACAGTCTTTCAGGCAATCTTCCATCCGATATGGGTTTAGGTGTGCCTAATTTAGAAGAACTTTACCTTGCTCTAATAACCTCAGTGGACTATTGTATTGTACCTGACTCAATCTCAAACTCCTCTAAACTCACTCATGTAGAGTTTGCTCGAAACAGACTCACTCGTCCAATTTATATAGTCTTTGGGAATCTACAATTTCTTGAATGCTTAGTGCTGTTTGATAACAATTTAACAAATGAATCTTCATCGGCGGAGTTAAGCTTCTTCACTACGTTAACAGAATGCAGATACCTGAGAAAAATTTCAGTGGCTAATAACCCGTTAACTGGTATTCTTCCAGTTTCTATAGGAAACCTTTCTTCTTCTATAGAAAAGATTTATGCAGGTGGCTATAAAATGATGGGAAGAATTCCAAAAACTGTTGGCAATCTAAGCAATTTGAGAGTGCTAGGTCTACAAGAGAATCCCTTGTCTGGATCAATTCCAAGTACAGTCAAAGGGTTGCAAATGCTTCAAGGATTATCTATAGAGGGTTGCAAATGTTAGCGGAACTATCCCTGACAGTTTGTGTAGCTTACGGTACTTTAATTTATTACATCTGATTGGAAATCAATTCCAGCATGTTTAGGTAATCTTACTTCTCTCAGGTGTCTTTATCTAGCTTCCAACAGAATAACTCCTTATGTGCCTCACAGTTTGTGGAGCCTCAAAGATCTCTTGGGATTTATTCTGCCATCGAATTTCTTGACTGGCTCTCTACCTTTAGAGATTGGACAGGTGAAGGTTGCAACATGGATAGATTTGTCGTTGAATCAGTTCTCAAATAACATTCCTAGCAGAATTGGAGATTTAGAAAACTTGAATCATCTTTCTTTGGCATATAACAACTTTGAAGGTACAATTCCTGAGTCAATCAGTAACATGCTAAGTTTGGAATATTTAGACCTGTCACGAACACTTCAATCGCTCAGCTACTTCAATGTCTCTTTCAATTATTTACAGGAGCAATTCCATCTAACGGCCCTTTCAAGAATTTCACTAGTGAATCGTTTATCTCCAGTGATGCATTATGTGGATCATCTAGGTTTCATGTTCCAGCATGCCAAACTCCTTTAATTCACAGATCAAGGACAAAGGAAGTGCTTCGAACTACATTGATAGTGTTTGGAGTTTCAGCAATAATTGCTGGTGTATCCTTGGCATTTATTTTTCTTTTGATACGTAAAGAAGGAGAAGGTTCCTAATGGAACAAATTTGTTATCCTTGACAGCAAAAGGAAGGATTTCGTATTATGAACTCCTACAAGCAACCAATGGCTATGATGAAATCCACTTACTAGGAAGTTTTGGATCTGTTTACAAAGGGATTCTAGCTAATGGAATTTGTGTGGCGATAAAGGTGTTCAATTTACAGTTGGAATATTCATTCAAGAGTTTCACCAGAGAATGTGAAGTCTTACGCAGTCTTAGGCACAGAAATCTGACCAAAGTCATCGGTGTATGCTCTAATGATGACTTCAAGGGATTACTTCCCCAATGGGAGCCTTGACTTGAGAAGTGGTTGTATTCTTACAATAATTGCTTAAATATCATCCAAAGAATGAATGTGATGATAGATCTGGCATCTGCATTGGAGTATCTCCATCATACTTACTCAATTCCCGTTGTTCACTGTGATTTGAAGCCAAGTAATGTCCTTCTAAATGAAGATATGGTTGCCTGTGTGACTGATTTTGGTGCTGTAAAAATATTGACTGGTGGGGAGAACACTGCATACACCAATGACTCGAGCAACATTTGGCTATATTTGCAACAGGTAAAGCTCCAATTAATTTTTCTAATTTTTAAAAAAGACTTATATGCTCTAACTTGCATATCACCCGATATTTAACCGATCTACCGCAAGTCTGGAACGGATGTGGAACAATCGCGCCCGCGGCCCATAACGGCGAACCATGGTATCAACAGGATCTGACATTTATAGCTATGGAATCATGCTGATAGAAGTTTTCACTAGATTGAAGCCCATTGATGAAATGTTTTCAGACACGTCTAAGGAACTGGGTAAAAAGTTGTGCGCCAAATGCAGTATCTCAGGTAGTAGAAGCAAACTTGCTCAAGCCAGGCTATCAACACTTCGCTGAAAAGTTGGAGGGCATAACGTCTATTATGAGAGTAGCTATAGGTTGCACAGAGGATTCTCCCAGGGACAAGATGAATGCTATAGATGTCTTGCAGCACTAAAGAAGATCAAAGTTCAACGTCTCACGTATTGTGGGGCAACCTAGAAAATTGTTTACCCAAACTAAGGAAATTCCTTTCTTAGAAATTGACATTATGTCCATTCTTAGAAATTGACTTCTTCCTCTGTGACAATTTTTTTCCCAGACTTCCTACGTCATCATACTCCGATACATGACCAAAAACTAGAACTAGGAAGTTACGTAAGCACCCATCTATTATTTTTCTTGATCTACTTGAACCTATTGGTTGGGTATGGCCCTCAACTTGGTTGAACCAATTGTGTAAGTCCTCCATCAGAGTGTGGAGCGATGAGACACATTACCTTGTCTCCTTGTGAGCATGACATCCTGATACATGCTGTTTAGTATCTCTGGTCCGTCCACCCCAAGATTCGTGACCATCACTTTAACAAGGGTAATGCAGACTTCAAGCAAGTCAAGTGAGTATTCATATCGTTCAGACAAATGCAAATCTAGCACACCACTATAGGTATATATAGAATTACAAACTTCCTAATATTGATACTTCATCCAGGAAACACGCTTGAATTTGGACAACTAAACGCCACCGCTTAATCGCGGATATAACCTTAGGAATCCAAGGTTGGTTTGATATCGTTCAGACATGCAATCTAGCGCACCACTGTAGTTACAAACTTCCTAATATTGATACTTCATCCAGGAAACACACTTGAATTTGGACAACTAAACACCACTGCCGATGTGACCTTAGGAATCTGACTTGTGTAGGCTAGTACTTACACCACTAAAGTATAAGGAAATCAACTAAGGACAACCGACCATAACATAAAAAAGCAAACAGATCAATAACATGCAACTAGAAACTTCCATGAAGGCATATTGGTAATTCATCAAGCTTGTTTTATGATGAAGATTAAAAAAAAAAAGTAATACTACTACTACAAGTGAAAATGTGCTGATTCTTTCACTTGTTTATCCTCATGTGATCCCATAAGCTTTTGCCATCAAGTTTGCTGCTCAGATACAGTCTGAGAAGGCTCTCGGTTTCTGTTGTTTTTTATTGTTCTCCAATTTCTTTGACAAGATCTGCTACAGGGCCAACTTTTGCTGTGAAATTTGTTCCGTGAAATGCAGTTATTGGAAGTCTTTCTTTGTGGAAATCCACGACAGCTCTATGCTCAATGCTGCGATATTCCCCATTGCTCTTTATTTGCACAAATCATCAAAGCACATCAACTCAATGATATCTATAGATGCTCAGTAAGTGGAAATTTGGTTTGGTGGTCAGTTACCTCCATAATATCACCGATATTGATGATGATTTCTCCAGGAATGGGTTTAATAGGAACCCATGTGTTGGTTTTCTTTATTTGCAGGCCTTGAACATCATTGACTTGAACTAACAAGGTCAGTCCTATTGCATCAGAGTGTGAAGTCTGGCCAATAACTTTGTCTGCTTGCTGGCAAGGTGGATAGTAATTCATTCTTATTCCTTGTGTGCCATCTTGATAGATGCTGCATAATTTTTCTGGGTCTACACCAAGATTCGCCCACATAAGTTTAAACAGGGTCATGCAAACCTCGTGCATTTGAAGTGAATATTCATCCATGGTTTCTCTGACATCATCAGAAATTTGAAATTAACATTGTGATGAATTTTTCTTACACAATTTTCAGGTTTTTGTCGCCTAAGTACAGTAATCCATGTAGCTTTCTAATGGAAGCAAAAGATGCTTCCTTTTAAAGAATCTTTGTTTTGCAATTGCTCAAAAAATAGAGGATAAATTCCCATGACGAACGGGAAATTCTGTAAGCAGAGGAGCTTGACGAACAAGGCTAGCCTTCAGAGAAAAGTTAAGAGCAGTATAATATTGCTGCAGAAGTGGGAAAAGATTGTGATACTGTGCATTATCCATTGTCTACCTGAAAGATGTTGGAGTCGTAGGCCAGATCTCATATTTCTATGAGAAACTGGCAATGCACGGAGGAAGAGCATGTCCCCCCAATCAAGCTTTTGACCATATCCTCTGATACCTCAAATATTTGACCATATCCTTCAACATCATTTGGTAGTTTTGCACAGGCCATCTTCTGCTGTAATGGCAGCTTAAAGAAGTCCTCCATCACCAACTTCATTTTCTCAACTACTGTGGTAGCCCCATGATTAATTAACTGTTCAAGATTGAGTCACGGGCTGTTAGTCGTTACTTTACTAGGAAAATTAAGCTGTGTATCTAATCATTACAAGTAGTACAATTAGGATTCTATATGTGAAGGATTCTCTTGATTTGTTACATGAATGAAACCCGAGTCTTTGCAAGCCCGATAAAGTTTTGCCATTTCATTCTGGTATCCTGAATGATCAGCTGCAAGCTTTCCCATGTCGATCACTGGAATCTGTGCTACCTCGTTCGTAGATACTTCATCAAGCATTATTTCAGGCCTGATGTATCGATGGGGGATTTCTTTAGAGCAATTAGAAGCTAGTTCTTGAACATTCTCCGCAGGGAGAGAAAAACCAAGGCCCCTTCCTGTTTTGGCCATCTCAGTTTCCATTGATATCAGTGTCCCAGATATCAAATTGGACCTCTTACACATTTCAGTTTTTATGCCTTGTTGTTTGCCTGATCTTGTGAGATTTTAGTGCTAATGCATCTATTAACTCAATGACAATACAGAAACTGGCATTTGTTTGCAGCTAGATGCTCAGATGGAGAAGATCAGCCGTCGCACTGAAAATTTGAAGGAATGACAAATTGCCAACTGCTAATTCAGTAGTTGGCCTGCGAATTTGAAATTTGATGAGGTGCCTTTCACATTTTCACAGATGCTTCACGACACGTAAGAGATTTCTGAGTAATTTGTAATCTAAACACCCTTAGAAACATGTGAGATGATTACTCCAATAAACGTAATAAAATCCTGTATCAACCTGGCCTAATTTCACTGCATTGTCATTCCTTCAGCTTATTGAATAATTACCCCGCCAAGATGCGTTGATGGAGTTCAATGTGATTAATTCATAAGTAATCATACAATTGATAAATAACAAGTTGCTCAATGACGATCGTAAAAGAATTTAAGGCCAGTGGCACATCTCACAATCATTTTAGTTGTTATAGATTCGCTAGTAAAGAATTTGTGTTGCAAATTACTAATTACCATGCCACCATCACCAACACTGATTGCAAAAGTGATTCAATATAATCTCCCTGGAAGAATTGAAAACTAACAAAATTCTAACGGAGAAGAAAGGAAGAGTTTGACTAATTAATTGTAGTTAGTAAGATAAGTGTGAGATTAATACCAATTTATTGACTAAGTACATATCGAATAACAGCAACTATAGTTGCAATGGTAGAAGACCATCATTATCAAACAATTATATCTCTTTCATCACACGTACACCCTAGTGTGTATGAGCCTAAAAGTTAAAGCTGTCATTTAATTTTAATGATAAATATGTGAAGGAAGAGCAACTAAATAAAGGCCCCCCAAAGTCATTTCACAAATACCGCAGCATCATCCACTTGTACACTCTTCTAAACCGATTGGCCCATCAAAATTTAAATGACTTAATTAACCCTCCAAAAGCAGATAAAATTTTGTGAACAGTACCCTCTAAAATTGCTTCTTGTTTATGTACAGGATTCATATTCACATAGACCAATTAGGCAACTTTGGATCCACCCCTTATTTGGAGCACTACCAATGACATGTTGTCAGCCTGTGCAATAATAAAAATCTGCTTAACTAAAGTTAATTTTTGTAAATAGTGGTAAGCAGGGTCGAATCTACAGGGATTGGGAGTAACTGTTTCTTTTCAAATTCACAATAATAAGGGAGTGTTTTTGTGCAGAAGATGATAATCAAAGAAATTCAAATAAAATCTAAAAAGTTACTAAAAATTAAATAACAATTTACTAATATCAATTGAGTGATAATTAAGGGTCTAGCCAAGAAATAACTTCAGCAATGGTTCACCTAATTGATCATCGATGCAAAGGTAATTCCAATTATTTACTAATAAATAGGTTATAACTACCAAATAAGCGATGGCAGTTAACCCCTCCTTACTGTGTCGGTGATTAAGGTACGCCCGTTAATCACTGCTCTAATTAATAAATAATTCTAGGTACGCTCATAAGATTTAATTCCCCAATTGCTTTACGTATTAGAGGAGCCCTATTCTAACCAAATAACGCACTACCAGGGTTATTTCAGATTAGCTCGCGTATTCCCCTGACACAAATCTAATCGTGCCAGTTGTCACTATTTCAAGGCAATTAAACAATTACGGATTTAAAAGCCCTAATTGACAATA